ACTAATTATGCGATCAGGCATTTCCAAATATTATTAACTTTTAACCTCTGATCACAACTTCATTTAACAAATGAAAATTAATGAATAAAAAATTTTGAAATCGTTTCTATCGCATTTCACAAATAATAACTCATTTTTGCTTATTTATTTTCTTTCTTTTTTATCAACGTTTTTCTGATCGGATTTTTTGTGAATTCAATTGTAGTAATTGTTATCATTGTTTTATATTCATACTAAATAGTCATATCATATGTGATATGATTTAATTAGAATCACAAAAAGCCTAAAACTCAAGATGATCTATTTTTAATGAATTCAGCATCAATTTGCCCAATTTATTTATCCTTATCAATTAATTTTAATTGTCCTTATCAATTTGCTTATTAAATGTTTGCAATTAACGAATGAAAGATTATCATTTATAAAATTTATCAATTAAAATAGCAAATATTTTCAAATTTTTTATGTTTTTGTTAGCGAAATATTTGTATGTTTGATAAATACTGTTAACAATTGTTATCATTCAAAATGATTTATATTTATTGATTTCTGTATTTGCCTTTCCCTATGAGACAAAATTTGCGACAAATATCAATATTGGCATACTTTGATAAAATTTCCATTTGTAAATCAGAAATCAATTTTGTAAACATTTCTAAATGCAATCAGTTATCTTATTAATAGATTATTAGTTTGTTGGTTTAGTAGTTACCGTAAAATAAATAGGCTGATAATATATAACGAGATAAATATGTTTTTACTATGTAATTTTAACGTGATAATACGAGAAAATGGTAATTTTTCACTTACGTGTAAACAACTACAGAATATTGGTAAACAATATGTGAAAAAAATGTTTGATTATCATTGCAAAACACTCGTTAATTAAATATCATCACGTATTCAAAATCTCTTTCATTTTAATATATCCATCTTTATGTGTTCAGAATTTTTTTATCATTCATTTTAACGTATCTTCGAACTATTTCAAAACTTTCCATTATCAAAAAATGATAAAAAAAGAAAAAAAATTTTAACTGTATGATTAATAGAATAAGCCTATTTAATAATTATTGATTATTTCTATAAGATAGAATAATCTGTAAAATTGATTCCTATTTATACTCCTACCACCGTTTAAAATATTTCCTTCTATCTATTGTATTGTTAATATAATTATTAGTATAATTTTCTAAGACAATAAACAAACTAAAATTGCTTCACATTCTGACAGTAATTAGCACTTATGATATTTATTAAAGAAAAATAGCTGTAATAATCATTTATTTATCTTTGTTCTTTTATAAATAGTAAATATTTGTTTGCTTTTAGTGATAACATTATTTTGAATTATTAAATTAGCAAATTTAAGAGACTGATTAAACTTCTATTTAACTGAAATTTATAATTATTGTACTGTTTACAATGTCTGAAATATATTAATAAAGGACCGCTAAAATTTGCATATCTTAAAGTAAATTAAGTTTTGATTTTGGTCATAAATATTTTTTTTTATATTATCCGAAATGGTTTATATTTTTAACTTAATAAATTAAGACTGAAAAATCAATCAAATATTTCTCAAAAATATTTACAAAAATTTGTGCTTCTAGCCTATTAATGCATAATTAACATAATTAGCCTAATGAGGTGACGAATAGTTTGAAAGGAATAAATCGATGAAATTTTATTGATATGATCATTTTGAATTGGAATAATTTCTTATAGTTTTTAGAAACTTTTTATTATTACACTCTTATTGTTTGTGTTTAATAAACAACAGCAAATAGCTTATTTGTTTTAATAATTTTAAAAATTTAATAACAATCAAAATTTGGATGAATCATTTAAATGAACAATTATTTATTGTTTAATCAAATCGATTATCATTTTCACAAAATTTCTCCTACTAAAGAAGTTTCTTGCATTTTTTCATTTTTTATAAATTGCATAGATCTTAGGCTTGCGGATATTATCGGATTTAAATGAATAATGATACTCGCTTATGATTACTTAACATTTTCAATAATGGAAAAGTAGGAGAAGTATGGGGTGGCTGGAAAGATGGAGGAGAAGAATGAAGTAATGATAATCTATTTAGATGGTACCACTATGCTATATACTTTTCTATCCAAAAAATTATCACACATTGGAATAATTTATTTTATGCATTATTCCACTAATATAATTTTTAAAATGTATTAATATAAATGATATGATAAGATGAAACTATTATAGTTTTAAAAGCTGGCTTAGCTCAAACTAAAACTATTATTGACTTTTGTTGTATCATTTTTATTAGTGTTATCAAAGCTTAGATATTTGTTGAATATATATAATTTGAAAATTTAAATATTAATGAAGTAATATTATTCATTTTTAAAATGATATTCTTATTGAAAAAGTTTGAACATTCGATGTAAATAACTCATAAATTCATTTTCTCCTTTATGTAACTCTCTTAAATAATAAAATTGTATATTTTATTTTAATTTAAATATTAAAGGAATGAAAACGAATAAAAGCTTTTTAAGCATTGGAAATTTCAATAATAAAATTTGAATTTAACAAATTTTACATTTAAATTGAACTTTTACCACAAAACCTTTCTTTATTTTGAATAATTATTTTCAACCGATCGAAATGATAATGAAATGCGATCAGAAAATTTTGTTGTAAAGCTATCTTTTAGCCATAAATTAAAAATCAATTAATAAATTAATCAATTCATTATTGAATGGATAATACTAATAATTATAATTGTTTGCTAAACGAACGATAACTTTTTCCTTTCTTTAAATAATAATAATAAACGAAAGTTTCTCATTGCCTTTTCTATGTGATATTATTGAGAGAATAATTAAATTCAAACAGTCAACGATCAAAATTTCTATTATTTGCCCATTTTCTCTTTTATTCAAACAATAAAAAATGAAAAATTTTTGAATTAAACAAAATTTTAATTTTTCCTTTTTTTTGTTTAATTTTATTAATTAAAAATTAATTTCTCAACGAAAAAATAATATTTTTTTAAGAGAAAAATTAAAATTTTAATAGAAATTAATACATAAATTTTGTGTAATTTATTCAAAACAAACAAAATAATAAAAATTTTCGCTTTAATTTATATTTTTTAAAAAAAGTTATTTTTAAATTTATAGTTACTTTCAGATTAGCAGCCTTAATATGAATCATTAAGGAAAGCTTCTACAGATGATCGATCTATGCCAGCACAACTATTAAATGATTCTTATGCAGGCAGCCTGTTTTTGTAATTCAGCTAACACAATTTATATTTTATCCCGATATTATAGCCATAATTAGCCGAGTAATGTATGAATGAAAGTTAAAGCATAAAATTACGCAAATCAATTCTATTATGTATTTACTATAAATTAAAAATTTTTTAAATTTTATTTCTTTAGTGCCGCTTTTTTGGTATTGTTTTTAAAAAATTTTTACGATAAAATATTTAATAAAATTACATTTTATCCCTTTTGTTTTTTCAATTATTATTAGACATATTTAATAGCTTTTAATTTAGAATTCAGTGATAATAAGCATCTGTTAAATTAACTCCAGCTAATTAAGTTGTAAATTTAAAATAAAAATTAGTGTCTCATATGCAAAGTTTCACGTATCTTCGAAAAACCTATGAAAATAGATTATCATAATTTTGCATATTCTTAAAGATATTTTTATAATACACAAATTTTGATATTATTTGACAATAAAAAGTTTTCCTATAAAATGCTGTAAATTGTATTTATTCGATAAAAAGTTTGCAACTGTTGTCCGATAACGTTTTTCTCTCCATTTTTTTTGCTCTAATTAGTCTTTTATAATTAATTGGCATTTCAGATGATTAAAACAATATAAATAAAACAATGTTGACTATATCAAATATTATCAGGTTTCTTAAACAATTAACATATCGTTTCCGATATTACCTTATCCTTATCATTGCTATTTATGGTCTTATTATCCCACTTCGTGGTTTGATAGATTACAAATTTCAAAGGAAGGTAAGCATATTCAATACTTTCAGGATAAATAACTATATATTACCGATTAATACTAAAGTTATGACAGTTTTAATTTCCAACGTATTTCTATATGCTATATGCTTAATTGATTTATTTGATAAAACGAATTTAACTGTAAAAGATTTTAATGAATATAAATATAATAATTTTATTGCTAATTAAATTATGCTTATGATGAAATCAAATTGAATTAAGGGAACTGATAAATATGATAATATCTTAGTGGGAGGAATAATTAACAACGAACGATTGAATTATAATAAAATGCATAAAGAAGAAACAAATTTACCTGTCATCAAGAAAGGTTACTTTTTCATAAGTTACTTTTTTGTAATATAATGTTATTTTATAATAATTCAAATATTTCAAAATTTTATTTTATAATACCTAACACTTTTTAATATTAAATTTAACAATAAATATATTAGTTTGAAAAATTTTTACTAATATAATTATTTATTAGCTAAATTATTTTGCTTATTTTTGATAATTTCAATTGTAAGCAATTGATAGTATTTTGAAATTTTCATAAGTCGCATGTGATAATGCGATTATTTAACTTACATAGAAATCACTATAACTTACTTACAGTAATTTGTTATTTTATCAAAATATTTGTTCTATTTTTATTTATTCTATGTTTTACCTTAAATATAATTTTTGTATATTTTAAATTAATTTTGCTCATAAATTGCATATTTGCATATTATCATATAATCATGACAAATTCATAAATTACATATTCACATATTATCATATAATCATGATAAAATAAAATGACATACAATGGAATAAAAATATTATGTATAACTTTTTCTTTTTTAGTTGAAAATTATTCCTTATCAAATTATTATTGTTATAATAGGTTCTGAGAAATCTTTTCGGAAATTGAGAAAATCAAAAGAAAAAGAAGAAAATATTGAAAGATTGAATTCAACAGAATACGGTATAATTATGATTGAAAATATTGTTGGCGAAGATCCCAATGAAATCCATCAACGATTTTTACCACCAAAAAACGTCGGTTAGTTTAAAAAAGTTTTTTGAAAAATATTTTATTCTAAAAGAATATTTGTTTTCCTAAAAATTTTTATTGTTTAAAGTTATTAGATTTACATTAAAGAAATTATCGATTAATTAAAGTAAAGTATTAATGAAATATTTATTTCTCTTTTTTTAATATTATTTCCTTACTTTAATTTATAAAACTTAAATACCAAAAAACCAACTTATTTTATACGTAATTTTAGGGAACGATGTAAAAATAATTGAATTAGATAATCGAAAAACCGGAATATCGAATGCTAATATGGATGGTTGTAAGGAATGGAATTGTATCATTCGTTATCAACAATCTGATATGATTATCTCGACTGCTGATGCTATTTTAATCAACAGGAGAAAAAAAGAACACTATCAACATTATCATATCAATAAATACTACATATTTTTCACTCAGGTAATAATAAATATTTATCTCAAATGATTATATTAGATAATAATAAAACTGAATGTTACGAGAAAATATTGAAACTTTTTCTGAACTATTATTTTTATCTTAAAGGAAAATTCAAATATTATTTGTCATTCTCTAAATAAATTTAATTAGAAAATATATTTATTTTGTTTTATATGAAATGATAAATTATATAAATTAAAAATAATAAACAAAAATAAAGAAAATTTTTTTCCCATAAAAATTTCAAATTGTATTTGAATATGATATTACTTTCAGGAATCAGCTGCTAATTATCCATTCAATCATTCATCCTTCAATTTAACATTGAATTTTATTCGTAATAGTCCAGTTTCATCACCATATGGATATACGGTGAAGTTAGCAAAAGGTTCAAGGCCTATAGGCTCGTTAATTAATGATGATATTATACGGAATAAAAGCATACCTATCGCATGGTTTGTAAGTAATTGTAAAACTGCAAGTCAACGTGAAATTTATGTTAAATATTTAAAGGTTTTCATTTTTTTTTCTTACACATTTATTATTATTAATATTATTATTAATATTGATAAATTATTAATATTAATAATAATTATTAGTTATTATAAAATTTTAAATTTCTTCTTCAAAACCTTTTGTTCCGAAATATTTTCAGTTATGAATGTTTGACTCAAAATATTAAATCAATTTCATTAATCATACCTGTTGATAAAAGTGTTACCTGTATTAAATAATAATTAATAATATTCTAGAAGTATTTAACTGTTGATATATTTGGCTTCTGTGGTAATACATCTTGCGTAGACAATGATTCGTGTGAAAATCTGCTCAATTATGTGTATGCATTTTCATTAAATTATTCGCAATCACAAATTCCCTGGTCATTCACATAAAATCGCATAGAAACTACCGGTCTTTCATCGCGAATTTCTTATATTTTCCAGAATGAAAGAAATTGCTTGTTCTCTTCTAATTAAATCTTTACGCTCTTTTTTTCTAATTAAATCAACTACAAATATTTAAATTTTAAAAATATTGAAAACAAAATCATTTAGAAAGAATTTTTAGATTTCATATAAATACAGTTTAATTATATAATTGAAAATATCAATACAACAGTAATTAATAATTAACAGAGATAGAAAGAAAAAATTTCTCATCATTGATTAAAATCTTATGGAAATTTTATAATATATTATATTACATTTTCAGTTATTATTTTTATTTATCATTTGAAAATTCGATATGTGAAGATTATATAACGGAGAAGTTATGGAAGCACGGATATGGCCATGAAATAATACCAATTGTATTGAAACGATCAATTGTTGAACGATACGCACCACCGCATTCATTCATTGCTGTTGATGATTTTAAAACAATCCATGATCTGGCTGATTACTTGAAATATTTAATGCATAATCTAACAGCATATAGGTTATTGGTATTAATTGTATTTGAAATATTCCATCATAATCGATCAATATATAAATTTTTTTTGGCATCTGAAATTCATTCAATTATATTGTTAACAAATAAATTACACTATTTTTATTAATTAACTAATAATAATCTTAAATTAATGATCAGAAGATATATATAAATAATATTACATTATTGAAATTTAATTCTATTCATTTATTTCAATTTATATATCTGATATTAGGTAATATATTTTAATTTCACTTAATAATTGTTATTAATATGAATAATTTATTCATTGTCATAATAAATTACACTAACAATTAAAAATTAGGGAATATTTTGAATGGCGACGAGAATACAAGGTATTATTTTTGAATGGTAATATTCATGATGATCTGGAACGACCATGGGGATTTTGTCAACTTTGCAGGTTATTTTTATTATACTAACAAATATAACTAATTAAGTAAGATAATTAGTTGAATAAAAATTGACAGCTTATGAATTCGTGAAGATAATTACTTTTATGCATACATTTGTGTCTATTCTATCAATGATTAATACAATTAATTTTATAAATTTAAAGATTATTATGGATGAATCCACGACCAAAATATGTTATTGAAAATTTTACTGATTTCTGGCACAATTCATGTGAATTATCCGGCACTCTGGTAAATACAATTTTACGGGAAGAACTTAAAAATTCACAACAATTTGAATTGAACACCAAATTACAGTGATTGTTATTATTGTTTTTGTTGTTTATTATTGTTGTTGTTTGTTGTTGTTGATAGTGATGATCAGAACGCTTGCTCAGTAGTAATTTTTAATGAAACGGTTTAAAGAAAATAGATTGAAATGCAAATGAATAAATAATTAATGATAGATGCAACCATCACAGATGGATGGATATTTTCACATTAAACATAAAATGTTGACATAAAATTTTTGGTTTTTACATAAATATATTTCATTGTTTGATAAATATAAACATCAATTTGATACGTAATGGAATAATTAAAATTTTAAAATACCAATCAATAAATGCATTCTAAAGTATTACAATAAATGTTCACTCTAATATTTACAGGCAATAAATTAATTCCAAAAAATAAATTAAGCGATAAGAATATAATTTCTTATGCAAATTATTGATTGAAACATGATATAAATAATTGATTGTGATAACAATTTGATAACAATTGATGATGCAATTGATTGATTAGAACCACATACATAAATTATATTTTAACCAAATGGTAAGTTTTTGCTGAGATTTTACATTATGCATATTTCACTTCAGTGCAAAGTTTCTTTCTGAACTTTCTATAAAAATAAAACAAAGTTGTAATTATTGAAGGCCTAATTAATATTTCTTAAGCTTATGTAGTCGGATGAGAAAAATTCCTATAATTCTTTTGTATTTGAAATATTTCGCTATATCAATTATTATTGTTTACTAAGTTAAATTACTAATTATTATTATAAATTATACTAACTTAAATTACTAATTAATACTATTATTATCATTGTTAATTGCTATCATTACTAACTCTTTCCAATTTGGGCACAATTATTTATTTATTCTTTAATATTTGCTGCCATTTTTTTTGTGTTTTGGAAATTTTAGTAAAATTTCTCTAATTTTTTTCAAATAATTTTAAAAATATATTTAATTCATTAGAAATATGATCGATAATATTTGCTAATGATAGAATAATTTAGTAATTTATCAAATATTATTATAAAATTGAAATGTTACAAATTAAAATATTGCAAATGAACAGGTAAATTAAAAAGGTGTACAGTAGAAGAAAAGGAATTCCTTCGTTGCTATGTTAATACAATCAAAATATAACAAAAAGTTAATTGTAAGAAACAAATTATTTCCATTAAAATTTTTTAAGTGAAATTAAAATGTGTAAATTTTTTTCCGTTAGAACAATAAGTTTATTAATTATTAAGAAATTATAATGTTTATTTAAATTTAACAACAAAATTTTCATTATTACACTATAAAATTAAGGGTAAAGTTTGTTTTTTTGGGAATGAAATAATTTATCATAAATCAAGTAAAATTTAAAGAATAGAAATAATCTTTGGAAATTAATTAACTGTCACTAATTATAATATTTGTTTGAATGACATAAATTCAATTTGAATTTAATAAATTTCTTTTTATCATTATGATATAAAAGTTGATGATAAAAAGAAAATACACAGTAACATATAGTTAAAAATAGAAGCAAATTGACAGATATATGAGAAATAATAGTAATAATTATGTGTGCAATTAATAGAATTTCAGTATGTAAAATTTAAATGAAAAATAATTTTAAAATTAAATGAGTGAACTTTTTTAAAAGAAATTTATTTTCTTAAAATGTAATTTTCCTGAAGAAAGGAAGAAATTTTAAACAAATAATAAATGACTAAATAAATTGATGAAATAATGGAAAAGTACAAGCAATACTAATTTAAGCAGTTAATTAGTTGTATATTTAAATTTGACTTTTAATTTTTTCATTTCAATTTTTTGTAATTCTCAGATGTACAGGCATTCTTAACAAATGATTTAATGCGAGCTAATTCACGTTGTAATTTTCGTCGAAATTACACCGTCGAAAGATGAAACAATCGGTCAAATCAATTTTTTGAAAACATAAATCATTTTAAAACTGAAAGCAAATATTAAAATGAACAGCGTTCAGATAAGATGGAAAATAATCCTTAAATTAGTATAGTCAACTTCGATTATATGTTTGTAAACAAAACATTCATATTATGGCCATCGAAAGATTTAAGTTTATTTTTGCTTAATTGCTTTCTTTGGTAAAGGTGCGGCAAAGATTTAATTTGAATTCCAAATGAATTCGTAATTAAGCAATAATGTTGCACACTGATTACTATTTGAAATTATAATTATAAATGGTAATTATTTTTTAATCATTCGTGATTATAATTAAATACTCAATTATAATCATGCAATTAATTATTGAAAAAAGAAAAAAAAATGGATCAACGAAGTAATTCAAATTTTACGGATACGTTAAGAGAAGATGAATAATAATGATATTATATCATAGAATATGTAAAATCGTATCAAAGTGAAATACTTAACAAATATCAGTTAATGATTTAACATTTTAATTTATTCAGTTTTTTAATAATGCAAGGAGAAATTGCTAAAATAACAAAGTTTTAAGAATATGATAATTGTTAATTTCTTAAACCTTTTCTATGATAATCGTTCAAAACTGTAAATTCAATTTAAGTGAAAATATTTTTGATTTTCATTGTTTTGAAAATTCTTTCAATTTCCAATCTTTAATTTAATATAAGAAATTTTCAATAATTTAAAGAAATGATACATTGGTTGCTACAATAAAAATGTAAATATTTTAAATGAATTATTTATAAATTTTATTAATCAATTAAATTTTCATTAAATGATAAGCATAAATTCCTAATTTATTTTCTTCATTTTTACTAATTAAATATTGCTTTTTCTTCCATCATTATCAATTACATAATTACTTCATTATCTTCCTTTTGTTTTTCAAATGCATTATTCTATCATTTCATATTTTCCATATTTTCTTTATGATATTTACATAAATCATTATTAAATATTCTTCGATTTTTCTTTTGTTATTTCGGTAATTTGAATAAAATTTTTTGGTTTAATACTTTTGTTTTCAATCCAATTTTTCTTCAAATTTTTAATTTACGCTTTTTCATTTTATATTCAAATAATTTTAAATTGAGAAATTCTCTAAAAAGTTTTTTGAATATTTTGGCTATTTCTTAAGGAATTTATCATTGATATTCTTATTTTGTTAATTTAATTCTTTTAAGAGAAATTTTTTCTTTGATAAATTATTTTTATAAAATGTCTTATTTTAGTTTTTACTATAATTACCGTTATTTTTTTATTTTCATTTTGTTTTTTATGGATTTTAATTTTCCTTTTTTTGCTTTAATTATAATTTCTTCATTAATTTTTGTGACTTTAATTATTATTATGTTTTTTGAATTGTTTTTATTTTCCTTTTATTATTTAGATTAGTTAGTTTCGCTTTGGAAAAAGATGTCTATACATGTGACTTATAAAATATAAAATTAATAAACTATGCCTCAATTAGAATTGTAAATTTATTTTTGGATTTAATTTAATTAAAATTTCTGTTTTTGGATTGCAAGATTTTTCCAAAAATGTTGTATAATTTATTCAATTCATTAATCTTTCTTCCTTTTGATTTTATTTCGAGTTATTTATGAAATTTCGGAAGTATGTTGGGCATTATATTCATATCTCAAATTTTTTGTTTAGCTAAGTGAGGCATTTATTTACTTAATTTTTAATAGGTATTGCTTTTATTGGCTATGCATTAATTTGAGATCAAATTATTATTTAATTAATGACGCGTTCAGCACTGTTTAATATGTTATATTTGAAGTTAATTTTGGTTTGTTTATTTGTATTATACATTCCAATGGTACTTTAATGTTTTTTTAATTTATTCAAAATATTTTTTAAAAGTTTGATGCCTGATAAATATCGTCTCACTGATGTTTGGTTAAATAAAGTATTTATTGATTCTTTTAAAATATGTATTGCTTTTATTGGCTATGCATTGATTTGAAGTCAAATAAGTTATTGAGCTGCTATAGTTATTATTAGTTTGTTTAGTAACTTCCTCACCTTTTTTTAGGTAAATATTTAGTTCGATGAATTTGAGGAAGGTTTAGTGTTTGTGAAAATACTTTGAAGCTTTTTTTTATTCTCTTCATTTTATTCTACTATGATTTTAATTATTATTTATTTATTTTTAATTCTTCTCAATTTAGATTACAATTATTTCTTCTAATTGGTTGGCTTATATGTGTGTGTGTGTAATATTTAGTCATTAATATTGATAAGCTAAAATTTGTAGAAAATATTCAGATCTGATCTTTTTTCAAAAATACAAGAATGAAGAAAAGAAAAAAACATTGCCAAAGATGTCATCGAAGATAAGATGTCAGTAAAGATAAAATGTCATAAAAGATAAGATATCAATAGAGGTCATTAATTAAAAAAGTAATTAGCAAACTAATTTTTCTTCGATATGGCAATATTGAAAGTGCAACATATTTCCTTCCTACTTTTCCAATCTTCTGAGAATGTTCATTTAAACTTCGCTGACAGTCCGTTTATGGAATTAATTATTTATCGAATTATTATTTATTTGTTGCCATAGTTATAAAAGTTAAAATTTAGATGAAACAATAACAATTTTTCAATCGTATTAATTAATTATTCAATCGTTTTGTTGAAATATTCTATTAGTAATCAAATTTGAAAAAAGAAATGTTATTTCAACTTTTAGAATTTAATATGTGTGTGTGAGAATGTAACAAATTATTATTACTACTTTTGGTACCAAAATAAATTCATTCCAAATTCACCTGTGACATCAATTATTTTAACATTTTTTAATGTTTAATTTGCTAATTACCTACTTTACAGTTGCTTGCACTAAGTAAGCAAGGAATAATTTTTGTAATTTAAACAATTAAAATCCAAAACGAAAAGAGAAAAATATTGGGCTTCTAATTTCTCGAGAATTGAATACATGTCATTAGCAAATGTAATGTATTTAATTAATTAATTATTCAATTAACTAGAAAAAATTGAAAAATTATTTCATGAAATTATATGCAAAATAATAGCCAAAGTGTAATAATAAAATTATTG